CCCCAAAACACTGTTGTTGGGTAAATGAATGGCCAAAAAATGCATAAACAATTGATATTTTTTAGTTGAAAACGGACCGGTGTAGTGTAAACGGCCCCTCAATCCAAGACCATATTTGTCATGGGCGCAGGAGCATGTAGACTTGGGCTTGACTCAGGCCCCGTCCACACTACTGCGTTTTCCTTTAAAAACGGAGAATTAAAACGAATACGGTCTCCGTCCACACCAGCGTTTTATCTGCGTATTAGAATTCACGAGTTCACACTTACATACAATTAAAGGGAATAAAGTATAATGCGTATTTGGCGTGCTGTCCGGGGGGAGGGCTCCGAGCTCGGAATTCGGCCCGAACCCAGAGCACTCCCCCCCGTATGTAAAGTGGTTTTGAACTAGAAGAGTGGAGAAGGGGTGGTGAAGGGACGCTGCTAAACTGTCAGAGAAATGAGGTGAGACTGCTGAGTCTATACATACACGTTTTAATCATGATTGCTGAATGCTCTCCACCCGTGTTAATTATCTGAACGTGCTTCTCCCGAACTTGTTAATAAAACATCATTTTAATCGTGATTGCTGATGCTCTCCACCCGTGTTAATTATCTGAACGTGCTTCTCCCGAACTTTGTTAATAAAACATCATTTGATCTCCGTCCACATTAAAACCCCTGAAAACGCGAATCAGCAAACAGGAAACGGATTGACATGTGATGGGTGGCTGACGAATCAGGGAAGGATACGTCATGACTGATGACACCCAATCATAGCGCCGAGCGTGAGCCTCTGCGTCATCGTTTCTAAAGTCCTCCGTTTTGTCCCGTCTTCACTAAAACGCCCTCCGGAGATTCAAAACGCAAAACGGAGCTGCAGCGTTTCTAAACTTCTCCGTTTTAGGTCTTCATTTTTTCCGTTTTATTCTGGACGGGAGGTGCAAACGTAGCAAAAGGTCTCCGTTTTTAAATGAAAACGCAGTAGTGTGGACGGGGCCTCAGACTCAACCCTTCTTTGGTCTTGGTCTTGACTTAATTGGACTCAAATTAGCTGGTCTCGACTTCAACACTGGTGCCATATTAAAATAAATAGGCCTTTCACAAGAACAAAGTGAAAGCTTTGAGATTAAAGTCAAATTACAAAATGAATACAGTTGTAAACACTATCTACACTATATGCCCATAATCCAAGAAGAAAGACGTTGCAAGTTGCATTTATATTCTAGGCTCATCTGCTTGACTGTTGATAGTGTTTATTATCAATAGGATGGATTTAGTCTTCACTGCACAATGCCATGCTCAGCATTTCAGAAGAATGTCCCCTTTGAGGTTACTTTTAAAAATGTATTCTTATTATATTTCTACTTTAATCTCATAATGCTACGAATTTATTGCAATTTTGACTTTATTCTCCTAATATTACTACTTTAATCTCGCAAAGTAACAACTTTATTCTTTAGTCCAGGCATAACCCTACTCCTGGAGGGCTGCAGTTCCAACATCAGTTCCAACCAACCCTTCTCCAACACACCTGTGTTTCCAAGTAATCCTGACCAACTTGATTAGCTGGTTCAGGTGTATTTGATGAGGTTTGGAGCCAAGGGGCCGTTTACTCGACAGATATCAACTAAAAACGTATAAAACGACGATGCATTTGGGGGCCTGAAATCGCAAACTTTCAATGTGCACATTTTTGAAACCGATACGTTATCGTCTCCGTGTAAACTACAAAAAACGTGAATTTGTGAAAACAGTGATGTCATGCGCATGCATATTACATGTTCAGTCTGTAGTCGAGTAGTGTTTCTTTACAAAGTGACACCGCCAACTAGTGGCCTGGCATGTATAATACAGGAGTTTTTTTTCTTCTTCTTTGCAGATCCGTGTGAACGGGGGTCGGTTTGACAATTTTTCAGTTCAATCGCGTCTTTACGCGAAAAACGTTTTTAGTACATCGTTGTCGTGTAAACGTACCCTAAACTCTGCCGAATGTAACCCTCCAGAAACAGGGTTGGTTCTTGATTTATTTTCAAAATTGTACTTTTTATTTTTTTTTACTTTAAAGTGCCACTAAAATGCCATTTTGCAATGCCTTAACACAATATCTTAAGGAAATATCTCTTTTGTAAATGTTAACCATTTTCCCTACACACCCAGGATTAGTGTAGTATGTTCTGAGGGCATGAAACCCGTCTCTCTCTGGACTGGAATTCATGTCAACATCCTAATGAAACCAACTGATTAATGTGTGCGTGTAGAAGAACATAACTCCCTCCAGGCTGTGTGGACATGGTAACCACACGCATGTTTTGGCTGATGTTCCTAAGGAACCGGGCATAAGGCTGAAACTCACAGCTGAGTTCTGTAGTCTAATGGGAACCATCCCCCTTCAGATCTAACAAGCAGCTCAGATTTTATTGGAGCATATTGCGTTCATTTGATATTAGAAAGCTTAATAGTTTTTCACATTCTCAGGTATGATGGTGAATTTATGAAGCATGTTGCTGTTTGCTAAGGTAGTTCTGGGCGGCCGTTGTCATGCAGTTGCCAGGTGGTTCCTTACTGGCCAGAGTCAACAGTCCAAAGACTCTACGATATTCTGGTCTCTTTAAAGTAAACCTATGGGATCTTTCCAACATGCAAAAATTGCCATTCAAATTACTTAGAAAAGTAATATCACACCTCTTCAAAACAATCCACAGTATTTGCATACATGTCTGTAGAACAAATTGAGCGAGAAATGAAACCATTTTATAGTAGTGGGCTAATTACAGGCTTCTCAGAGAGGCAACCCCATCAGTGAAGGGAGTTTCTCTGCCCCAGGGTCACAGGATCTCATCCTGGCATCATGGCAGACTCTTAAAACATCCGTTGCTAATAGTCAAACATTATAGGAGCAACTCCTCCTGAAAACCTAAAAATGATTGTGTCTCATATCTTTTGCATCAGAGCTCTTCATTAACGGAGCAGTAAATGTCATCTTGTGATATTGTCTGTGAAATGTGGACATTTAAGTTTGCAATCGTATAATCTAACTGAAGAAATCCATTTAGCTACAGGAAAACAATCAAGTCTTTCATTATTTGAATAAATGTTTTTGGTCATTTGTTCATTGTAAAAGGTCCTGGCCCACCATCAACAACTTGTCAGAGCTCAAAATTGTACAAGACAACTTTATATGAAGTTATTGGTATTGCTTAGGGTAGTCTTATGTAACCTAATGTGTTTAGTTTTACAGCATCTCTTATAGCATGTTGGCTTAACCTGCTTCCATGGTACTTTGATTTCTCTGGACTGGAGGTACCAGGTCCATAATAATTTGTATTTGAACAATATTTATGACCAAGATTTTATTTTATTTTTTCTCAATGACCCTGTGCATAATACTATATGCACCTATATCATGAAAGAGCACATGTGATAGTTGCTGGTACTAGATCAGTGACTATAAGGCTCATGAAACATACCCACAGTAAATAACCAGTTAGCTGCACAAGTGTGCACAAGAACAGAGGGGAAACCCTCCTCTGAAACAAATTACATATTTTTGTCCATGTATTAAAAAAAATAAAACGAGACAAGATGACAGTCATACACTTGCTGGCCATTTTATTGATGTTATTTTACAGTGGAACCAATGATAACAGAATCGAAACCAGCAATTAAAAGGCAAAAATTAACAAAACAAAAACAAAAAACAAAAACAAAAAAAAATATTTTAAGTGTTCTACATGCTATTTCTGAACCTAATTCAATCATGCTCGCTTGGGAAAAAAAATACTTTAATAAAAACATACAATTAAAATAAAATTAATGACTTGCAGTATACTTCACCATTAACTTCATTTTAAATGTACCTTCCATTGGTTTTCTTCCATGCACAATTTCTAACAATATGTACGTAAATGTGTATATATATATATATATATATAAAAAAGAAAAGAAAACAAAATTAAGACTTTTAGGCGCGTAAAATGCCGTAAAGCAGTTTTCCACTCGTACAAAGCACCTACAAGTTAAAAAAAATTCTTATGGTGAATCCTTATGAAAACAAACGCTGGAACTTGGGAGAGCGTCATGAATTTCTGTACAACTCAAACGGATGAGCGATCATCCACGGCTAAACGAACACAGAGCGCCAAAACAGACCAGAATGGAAGTCCAATGCCTCACATTGAAAAATTACAACGTTCTTAAAATAAATATCACATCTGCTAAAAATAAATAAATGATCTTAACACTTCACTATGGCAAATGCAAAATGAAAAATAGAAATCGCTGTGCACTACATTGTTGAGAGGGCAAGTGTTTCTTTAAAGCACTACAGTTGGGAGACGGAACCTTCTGCTGTTACCTTGAGGTAGATAACGCCTTTACGAACTTAGTTATCGCAAGCCTACGGTCGACGCTTGCTGTGCTGGCATCACGTTTGAGGAAGTTTACAGTATGAACAAAATGACAAAAGGCTTCGCTTTTAAATGGAAATGAGGTGGAAAAAGTAAAATAAATACATTAGCCTTAGTTCATAAAAAAAAAAAAAGGAAGAGAAAGGCCAAGACGCACTGCTCATGTCTGTCCTATTGGCTGTCAGTCAGAAGGTCACATTATGATGTCAGTGGCAGCATCTCCCACTTAGTGCATTATTCCACCCTCTTTTTCTCTATTCCTTTGCTTGCAATGAATAAACCATCTATTTCTCTACTTAACAGTTGTTCCTCTGTCTTTCCCTAACCTGTTTCTGAATCTACAGTACACTGTGTGCAAATGTCATGCTGTTAATTATATATATATATATATATATATATATATATATATATATATATATATATATATATATATATATATATATATATATATATATATATATATATATATATATATATATATATATATATAATATATACATACATATATACACACATACATATATATTATATATATATATATAATATATACATACATATATACACACATACATATATATATATATATATATATATATACACATATATATTCAGAGTTGGAACTGAAAATTAGAGGGCAAAAAAAACATGTTTCATGTGTAAGAAAACAGTCCAGCACTTTGGATGAACTTACGAACTGAATTCATTAACATTTAATCCACAAATTTTTAAAAAAGAAAAAGTTTCCTTAAAAAGTAACCATATGTAAAAAGATAAATGATTCAAGTACAGAAATACATAACTCTATAAAAAATAAGCTGGACTCTGCTTGAACGGGGGTGGTTTTTTTAATTTAAATGCTTGAAAATGCTGCTGTAGGTTTTATGGGCGATTTGTGGGGAGCGTTTAACAGCAGAGGGCGTTAGCGTGGCCTGGATGGACTTCAGAGGAATGTCAGCCGCTCCTTCGAACCCCGGAATGGCCAGAGACTCCAGCTGCATGTTAAAGACTATCTCGCCGCCACAGGATATGAAGTCACCCTCCGGAGCAGGCACCTCGACGGGCTCCGGGATCTCGGACTCAGCCTCCTCCCGCTTGCTGAAGAGCCGGTCTAGGTAACTGCTCTGGCAGCTGCTGTTCTCCTTCTGGAGCTGCTCGTCTTTGCGGACATCCCAGCAAGCCTCGTCGATCAGGCTGCTCTCGGCAACGCCGGTGTCCGTGAAACTTTCCCAAGGACAGGGTGTCCGAACACCAAGCTGTGCCAGGTTGACTAGACACTTCTCTTCTTTTTCCTGACTGATGGACTTGGACATGGAGCCGCAAGGAGCACGAGTGTCCAGTTGGGAAACTGAGGTGTTTAACTCATTTAGGAGGTCAACGTCACCGGATTCCGGCTGGAGGCTCAGTTTGATGGTGCTGGCGATAAACGAGTCAAAGTCGAAGCCCTGGTTGTGGTTCTGGTGTTTTTCTTGTTCACGATCCTTCTCGGCCACGCTGTGGTTCTGAGACGCTTCCTGCAGGGCGATCTGGGCCTTGACCAGTCCGTTCTTCTCACACTTGCTCTTGCCCTTTTTGTCTAACTTCTCTTTGCTCTGTTGCTCTTTCCAGTTAGAGAGGTTGATGATGAGTTTGGGCTCGTAGTAGTGGTTCACCTCACTGTCCCTCCAGATCAGGTTATCCAGGTAGGATGGGGAAACAGCTTTGTAGTTGCAGGTGTAGCTGCACTCTTGGTCGCAGTACTTGTTTTCATGGTGATCTTCCTCTTGCCACGAGTGCTCGGAGAGGAGGTCGAATGATGGGTCCTCTAGGAACTTTTCGCACTCTCCATCCATGTATTTCCGTGGGTCGATCTGGACCTCCTCCTCGTCTGTGCCGTCTGACATGGCTCGAGGATCACGCTGCACATCTTCCACTTCATGGGTGCTGTGCAGGTGCCAGTCCTGATCAGAGAACTGACTGTCATGGTACCTACAGTGGGAAAAAGAACAACAAATGCAACGAATGTAAATTGATCTGGGTAGCTTGACGAACAGTTTTGGAGACTTCTGCTTTTAATCATTCAATTGTGTAGGAGCTGTACTGAAATATTGCTTACAAAGAAAATATCTGCCCAGAAGCAATCTTGCCATTGGAAAGATGGCGGCCAGGAGAACTGACTTTCCTTAAATGGTCTTTGCTTACACTTACTCTTACCGAAAGTCAAGTCTCACAGAATGATGAAAGGATGCTAGTATTTCTCCATTAAGTGTGAGCTCACCTGTCCCAGTTGTAGATGTGACTGTGGCTCTCATCCATGAGCAAGATGTCATCCACCTCATCCTCAATGTGGAAGGGGTGCGATGATACTGGTTCGTCTAATGGGAATGAGTAGTCGCTCATGTATGGGTGAGCAAGAGCCTCTTCCGCAGTGAGTCGGTCCATGGGGTTAAAGGTCAAGATCTTCTCCAGGAAATCCAAGGCTGCCATAAACAAATGAATAATATCACATCAGATTTAGCCTGCCATTTAGGTTTCTTTTACCAACACAATATGGCTTAGCATCAACAGTAGCAGAACTGAGATAATTTTCTAAAATCATAGAGAATGCTATGGATTGCTGAAAAAAATTGGGTCATGGGAAGGGAGAGTGGAAGAGAGAGTGGTATTCAAGTTTCCAGGAATTTAAGTGTCCATAAATTGTTTCTATGAATTGCATGCATTCTGAAAATATGCTTGTGCAACTTACCCTCAGGGCTGACACCAGGCAGTAACTTGGCAAGCGGCGTGTGTGGTTCTGACATGTCGTTCCTGATAAAGATGGGTATTACACTTTGAAGCTCCAGTCGGTCTTCCTCATGGACCACCGGAATGGATTCCAGAATCAGCTGCATCTGTTCCAGCTCGTGAGCACCTGCGCACACACAAATGTTTAATTCAGATAAACTGTGTCAAAGCAAATGCACTGTCAATATTTGGCACAACTTGTATACTCAAAAAACTGGTCTTGTTGTGCATGTTTTCCAAGACTGATGGCTAATTTTACCCTCCATTTGAATAATGAATTTCCATGACTTTTACAGTTGTTAAGGACTATTGGAAACAGACTTGTAAAAATACATTTATAGAGACTGAGCTCACAAAGAGTAGTTTATAGGCAATGAAATATATTGGAGCTGAGAGTAACTTAAAAAAAATAAATAAAATAAAAGTATATTCAATAGAGACATTTCCATGACCTTTTAGAATTTTATTTAATTATTTCAATAACTTTTTAGGGCCGGGAAATCATAATTTTAAAATTGCCAGATATTTCCTAAGCCTGCATCAAAACTAAAATACACCAAAACCAATAGTTCTGTCCCAGTTTCAAAAAAGTTTGAGTTCACAGAAAGAGCTCCTCTCTCAACTACAACATAAGAAAAAAAAAAGCATTGTCCTAGCTTATTTTAACACATGGCCACAGGAAATGACCTTCAACTACCTGATCATTGTGTGTGCAAGATGATAGAAGATAGAGTCACCAAGATAAAAATAGGCAGAATACATTCACACAGAGACAATGTTTAATACCTGCAAAGAGTGTTTTTCCAGTCAGCATTTCAGCAAAGATGCACCCAGCGGCCCACATGTCAATGGCTTTGGTGTAGTTATTTGGGGAAAGGAGCAGACGAGGAGAACGATACCATTTAGTGACCAGTCCCTCAGACAGATGCCCCTATGGAAAAGACATAACCAATGTCAGTGTCAAGACAAAGATCCTTGGAAATAAAACTGAACAAAAATCCTCCAAAGGTTTGCAGAAACTCACTCGCATGCATTTATGAAAAAAAAAAAAAACCTACAGAATGAGCAGTTAATTCATGTTCCTCATGTCTCATCTTGTTCATTGACGAGGTCATGCACTATATGGCATGTATAAAACACTCGGGACAGCTGTACCAGACATTTCCTGAGTAAAGCAGCCAGCACATGGCCCAGTTTCACATCTACCCTTTAAATGAAAAGGCTTATAACTACATGAACATTTAATTTTCAGTCAGTTTCGAGCTATGCTACAGTCAGGGCCATTGTTATTTCCCAAAACATATTAATGATGGGTCACTATAGTGTATACTAGTGTAAATTGTTGCGTAAATTGTCTTTGGTCAGTTTTTTTCCCCTTTCAGGTCAGCTACCATTATGACAGAATCACAAACACGCTCTCAACATGCATCTATATAACACGGCAGGTTTAATGGCACAGAGATTTGAGTGCAACTACTGCCCCCCTTGAGTACTATGGTTTGTTACCACCACAGTGACCCAATAATTCACGTTTTTGCTCAACAGGACCAAGGCTTTGCCAAACTAACCATTGTATGCTTCTGGCCTATAGATCTAAAGGACACACAGAAAGATAATGACTCAAGGACGACACAAATGGACAGACAGACAGATCAGCAGTCCCTCTTGACAAAAAACCAGGATAATCCATCTCGTGCCCGACACAATGGCAGACAGACAGACAAGTCATTGACATTAGCCTGCACCACTGGGTCACTGTTCATTAGAGCTGCACGATTCTGTATAAATTGAGAATCACGATTTATTTGTTGTTGGTTTCAAATAGAGTTCACAATTCTCACACAATTCTGAACAGACCACTAAACAAAACATGTAATTTACAATGGTCTGACAAAATGTTAGTCTAATTGCTTATATATATATATATATATATATATACACTTATCCAAGTATTTTGTCAAAGGTTTAATAGACATGGCCGAATTGTCGTCATTTAGGAATGAGATCATGTGGGTGTTTGAATCGAGATTGTGATTTCTTTTTTAATGATTAATCTTGCAGCTCTACTGTGCCTGTATCAAACATCCTCACACAGACTCAGTGTCTAGCCAATGGCCCAAAAAAAAGTGATTCTTGAGGCCATATGAATCCACAGTTCACTGCAAGGGCTATTTCTGTCTAAATCCATGGTCATGTATTGTTTGTAGGGTATCGGTCAAGCTTTTAAAAACAGATTACAGCAGACCACGTACACAATTGGCCATTGAAAAACCTTCTCTGGACCAACAAATACCAACAGACTATCATTTTACATCTCAAACAGACCTCAGTGAGCTTTCACTCCCTCTTAAAACAGCACAGATGCTTGGAAGAACACCAACTTAAAAAGATTACTAAACAATTGTCACAGTCATAGTTTCTGCGTCAAAGGTCATGCACAGGGTTGCATAATGCAATGAGAGCAGATTACCTGGAAGCAGATTATGAACATTCAGATCACATTCTACTTCAAGACTGTGTGAAAGAAAGATCCTGCTAAAGGATTAAACTTAAAAAACTCTCATGCTAAAGAGACCAGACTGATGCTCAATCGAAAGAGAAAACCAATCGGCTGTAATGGCAAAATTAGATTTTAGATTTTTTACATTAAAGGGTAACTAAACACTAAACCAACTTTTTTTAGTTAATGATCTGTAAGACTGGGGCTTTATTAATGCTGTTCATTGATTCGAGTAACTTCTTTGACATTTGGGTATAAAGTGTTTTAATTCTACAATATATGGTGTAAAAACGTCCGAGTGCTGCCCTCTTCAGGTTGAACGGTGACTACTGCACTTGAATTTTCCTATTGGATGTTTGCAGTAGTTCGTGACGGTAGCGGTAGTGAGAGAGATCCATTCATCCCCTCTATCTCCGCTGGGCTCCGCCCACTTTTCCAGCATTTTTCAAATATTGCCAGTGGGTGGAGTCAGGCTCTGACCAGGGGTTTAGTTACCCTTTAAGCAGTGCTTCCAGAAAAGTGGTTCCTTGCTGGCCTAAGAAGCCCATCCACAAGTCTGTAGATATGGCTTCGGGGTCCTTCCATCTATGCAGGTTTGATCTCTTAGATGAATAATTGTACAACTTTCCTCAACTTGCTGCAGGATATGATGTATCCTAGGGCTGTGCACAATTAATCGAAATAAAACCAAAATCGTAAAATGGCTTACGGCAGTGATTTATGAACTACGTGTTTCAGAGAGAGTGAAGTGCGAGACTGTGACTCTGGCTAAAGTATAAATATACACTGGGAATCGTTTATAGAGGGGAAAAGCAAAAATTAAATAATAAATTTCGCAATTCGCAAAAAATTCGCAATCTTGATTCAAACAACAAATGATCTCATTCCTAAATAGACAATTGACTATTGAACATTTGACAAAATCACACTGGAACATTCAAACCTGCATTGGCTCTGCCGCTGACCCAGAGAAAGCAGTCATGATGTAGAACTATAAAACAGCTTCACAAACAGTCTTTTCAACCACACAGCATTGTTACTTCTGTAATAATATGATCATTGTGTGTGCACAATATTTGTAGCACAGAAGTACGTCTGCCATCAAAATAGAGAAAATCACCTTTTGAAAGTAACTTGGCGTTTCAAGTAACGATTGTATCAACTACATCGTTACGCCACCAGGTGGTGACCAGTGACAATATATTTGTAATTTAATCATTCATTCCAAGAGATTCGTTTAAAAACACCAATTCCTCCAGTATTGAAACGAGTATTTATGAGTGAGTCATTGAATCATTCATACAAACAGATTTTAAAAATAATTCATTCAGATTAATTAAACATTTAGACTGCATATCTATTTATACAAACATACACACCCACCCCTAGTAAAATTATTATATAAAAAAAATAAAATAATTAAATTATTTTTTATTTTTTATAATATGATACTGAACTCACAATACGATATTATTGCGATACTCCAAGACATATGGTAAAATGTTAAAAAAAATTGTTACTGTTGATTAAAATGCTAAATTTGGTATTACATTGACGGTGGAAATGAATAGGCTTGGACTTAGTGACGGTAACCCAATGCACAGAACATTAGTGACACCAGAATAAAAACATGCATGATTCTGAAGCTGAAAATACAGAATTATTTTAGACGAATATGCTTGCACTGTCACTGACCAGATATATTTTAAATAATGTAGGCCAATTTTTACTGGTAACAAGACATTTGGCATTATCAAGAACTACAAATATTCCCCCATTCCATTATTATACATTATATTCAATATAGTAGTTTAACGTAGTACTGACACTAAAACTCACAGTACTTTTTATTTGGGGTGAACTACACAATGCATATTGTCACAATGAATGCACGATACAGATTGAGCATTTTTGTATTGCGATATATTGTGACATGATATATGGTTACACCCCTAGTGCTTATTCAGGAAGTGACAAGAGCAGAGTCTCATAGGGTGAATGCAATACAAATGTCTGCTTAAATGCTTCTTGAGAAAGTCAAGCCAAACTAGTCATGACACATTTTAGGCAACTCATTTGAATTTTAACTGAATCCACCCTCGCTGGTGGCGTGAGGCGACAGATGACTCATGCAGGCCGTGAGATGGGCTCCTAACCAAACAGCAGGAGGATTAAATGTCAGACAGAATTGACAGACCCCAATCGCACCTCATATTTATTGTCATTTGCAAGGGCAACCATTACTAAAGCTCAAAATTAGGGGACTGTTTGCAATACTTCAAATCACACAGCTTGAGGGAAAAGGGTCTCACATTTTTATCCCTTATAAAAAAAACAAACAAAAAAAAAAACACCACCTCACTTTGATCTTTCATGTGAGAAAGCAGAGTGTATTTTTTTTTTCCAGTTCTTCTGAGATCATCGGAGACCACAAAAGTAGGTCAAATTCAAGTCTGGTGAAGGAGTGGAGTTCAGAGCGCCCCTGTAAAATGAGTCAATGTCAGAAAGTGCTGAGAGGAGTGAAAAACACTGGGCCCAATTTATGCCTCTAAAAGTCCCCTGTGTACAAGAAACAGTCTCTTTTCACACCGCATTTAACATGCGCACAATGAACAGATAGGAGACAGCCTTTGGTAAACTGACAAAAACGAAAACCTCAAACAGCTGCAGAGAAGAGGAAGAACAAGTCTGAACCCAATGACACAAGCAAACATCAAAAGCAGGACTTGGAAGAAGACCAGAATCCAGAGCGCTCAGCCAAAAGCAGACAAAGACAAGAGAGGAGAGGGAGAAGGGAAGTAGGGGGTTGATCCGCACGTGAATTCCAAACATTCCTCAGACTGGGTCGGATTTCTAGAGCAGAGCATAAAAAGACCCTCTAAAAACAAGCAGCTGCCCTTTAATACAGTACCCTTCTCACAATACTTAGTGTTCACTTCAACACTAATATTTTTTTCTCTAAGGTCTGCCTAATCTTAATGACTGTTTTTTGATGCAAAAAACGTAATAGTTCTACATGATTTCCCAGCTTTTTTTACCCTTAGTAAACAGGACATTTGCTGCTGTACCTTTAAGACTTGTATGTAAAAGACTGCAGTTAGGGCTGGGCGATAAAATGATAACGATAATTATCGCGATATAATTTCTCGATAAAACGATATCAAGAGGTCGATAAATGTTCGATAATGTTTATGCGCCAAAAGCGGAACGAAACTCATTTGAACCGTGCGCGCCTCACGGACTGTTTATCCGCTCGGCTCAAAGTCCAAACGGCAGCTCGAGCTCAGTAGAGCAGATGCGTTTACTCTGGTCGTCTCGCTCACGAGATCCAGTGATAAGCGCTTAAGTTCAGCGAAGAACACAAATGTTTAAAGGCAGATGAAACAGCGCTGACAAACAGGAAAAACACTGTGCGCAACGATACAGTCAAT